TTACATAGGAACTTGGAATGTTAGGTCCATGAATCAAGGTAACTTTGAGGTGGTGAAGCAGGAGATGGCAAGAGTGAACATCGACATTGTAGGAATTAGTGAACTAAAATGGATGGGAATGGGTGAATTTAATTCAGATGACTGTTATATCTACTACTGTAGGCAAGAATCCCTGAGAAGAAATGAAGTAGCCCTCATAGCTAACAAGACATGCAGTACTTGGGTCCAATCTCAAAACAGATTGATCTTGGTTCATTTCCAAGGCAAACCATTCAATATCACAGTAATCCAAGTCTGTGCCTCAATCACTGATGCCAAAGTAGCTCAAGTTGACCAGTTCTATGAAGACTGACAAGATGTTCTAGAACTAACACCAAAAAAAAGATGTCCTTTTCATCATAGGAGATTGGAATGAAAAAGTAGGAAGTCAAGAGATACCTGGAGTAACAGGCAAGTTTGGTCTTGGAGTACAAAATAAAGCAGGCCAAAGGCTAACAGAGTTTTGTTAAGAGAACACACCGATCATAGCAAACACCTTTTCAACAACACAAGAGACGACTTTACACATTGTTGTTGTTCAGTCACTTGGTCGTGTCTGACTGAGCGACCCCATGGACTACAGCACACCAGGCTTCCCTATCCTTCACTATCTCCTGGAGTTTCTTCAAACTCATGTCCATTGAGTTGATGATGCCATCCAACCATCTCATCCTTTATACCCCCTTAATCCCCCCTGCCCTCAATCTTTCTCAGCATCAGGGTTTTTTTCCAGTGAGTCAGCTCTTTGCATTAGGGGTCCAAAGTAGTGAAGCTTCAGCTTCAGCATCAGTCCTTCCAATTAATATTCAGGGTTGATTTCCTTTAGGATAGACTGGTTTGAGCTCCTTGCTGTCCAAGGGACTCTCAAGAGTCTTCTCCAGCACCACAGTTCAAAAGCATCAATTCTTTAGTGCTCAGCTTTCTTTATGGTCCAACTCTCACATCTGTACATGACTATTGGAAAAACCATAGCTTTGACTATATGGACCTTTGTGGGTAAAGTGATATCTCTGCTTTTTAATATGCTGTCTAGATTTGTTATAACTTTTCTTCTAAGGAGAAAGTGTCTTTTAATTTCATGGCTGCAATCACTGTCTGCAGTGATTTTGCAGCCCAAGAAAACAAAGTCTGTCACTGTTACCATTTTTTCCCCATCTATTTGCCATGAAGTGATGGGACCAGATGTCATGATCTTAGTATTTTGAATGCCGAGTTTTAAGCCAGCTTATTCATTGTCCTCTTTCACCTTCAGCAAGAGGCTCTTCAGTTCCTCTTCACTTTCTGCCATTAGGGTGGTATCATCTGTGTATCTGAAGTTATTGATATTTCTCCTGGCAATCTTGATTCTAGCTTGTTATTCATCCAGCTGGGCATTTCTCACCAAATGGTCAATACTGAAATCAGATTGATTATATTCTTTGCAGCTGAAGATGAAGAAGCTCTATATAGTCAGCAAAAACAAGACCTGGAGCTGAAACTGTGGCTCAGATCCTGAGCTCCTTACTGCAAATTTGAAGACAGTAGGGAAACCACTATACCATTCAGGTATGACCTAAATCAAATCCCTTCTGATTACACAGTAGAAGTGGAAAATAGATTCAAGGGATTAGATCTGATAGACAGAGTGTCTGAACAAGTATGGACAGAGGTTCATAACATTGTATAGGAGTCAGGGACCAAAATCATCCCAAAGACAAAGAAATTCAAGAAGGCAAAGTGATTGTCTGAGGAGGCTCTTAAATAGCTGAGGAAAGAAGAGAAGTGTAAAGCAAGGGAGAAAGGGAAAGATTTACTCAACTGAATGCAGAGTTGCAGAGAATAGCAAGGAGAGATAAGAAGGCTTTTTTCAATGAAAACTCCAAAGAAGTACGGAAAAACAATAGAATGGGAAAGACCAGAGATCTCTTCAAGAAAATTGGAGATATCAAGGGAAAATTTCATGTGAGGATGGGCATGATAAAGGACAGAAACAGTAAGGACCTAACAGAGGTAGAAGACATTATGAAGAAGTGGCAAGAATACAGAGACCTGTACAAAAAAGTTCTTAATGACCTAGATAACCACAATGGTGTGGTCACTCACCTAGAGCCAGACATCCTGGAGTGTGAAGTCAAGTGGGCCATAGGAAGCATTGCTACAAACAAAGCTAGTAGAGGTGATGGAGTTCCAGCCAAGTTATTTCAAATCCTAAAGTAGGACGCTTTTAAAGTGCTGCACTCAATATGCCAGCAAATTTGGAAAACTCAGCAGTGGTCACAGGGTCATTCCAATACTAAAGAATGGCAATGCAAAGAATGCTCAAACTACTGGCCAACTGCACTCATTTTGTGTGCTAGTAAGGTAATGCTCAAAATCCTTCAAGCTAGGCTTCAATAGTACAAGTACTGAGAACTTTCAGACATATAAGCTGGGTTTAGAAAAGGCAGAGGAACCAGAGATCAAATTGCCTACATTCATTGCATAGTAGAGAACGCAAGGGAATTCCAGAAAAAAATATCTACTTCTATTTCATTGACTATGCTGAAGCCTGTGGCTGTCTGGATCACACACACACACACACACACACACACACACACATCAACACAATGGAATATTACACAGGAATGTGAAAGAATAAATAACTGATAAATGTACTAACATGACTCCATTTATTTGACATTCTGGAGAAGGCAAACTTATAGGGACATAATTCAGATCAGTGGTTGCTAGGGGCTGGAGGTATGAAAGGCGAATTGATTCCAAAAAGGCATGGGGGAACTTTTGAAGTATTGGAACTACTGTTTATCATGATTGTAGTTATGATTATACAGCTGTATATAGTTGTTAAAACTCATTGCACTATTAGCCTAAAATGGTAACTTTTACTATTTAAGTTATATCTCAACTTCTACTATATAAATTAAACATAATTTTTTTAAAATGACAATTGCAATAATTTAAATGACAAAGATGGTGTCTTGAGCTAGGATGGTGGAAGGTGATGATAAATAGTGGATAAGTCTAACATGTTCTTAGCATGTAAAATCCATAGGAAGAGATACAGGAGATGAGAAGAAGGGAGACGTGTAAAGTGAAAGTTGCTCACTTAAGTCAGACTCTTTGCAACCCTATGAACTATACAGTCTATGGAATTCTCTAGGCCAGAATACTGGAGTAGGTAGACTTTCCCTTCTCCAGGGGATCTTCCCAACCGCAGGATCGAACTCAGGTCTCCCACATTGCAGGTGGATACTTTACCAGCTGGGCCACAAGGGAAGCCAAGGAGAAGCACAAGGGAAGAACAAGGGAAGCTCTGATAAAAATACTACAATATGTCTAGAGTTACAGTGGATTTTTTAATATACTCATAAATCTTATCAGAAATCATAGTCTAAGAGGTAGAGAGATGATAACAGATCAGAACAAGAAATAAACAGCAGTTCTTGTCCAGTTCAAAATAGAGTTCTCTTATCTACACTATAATAAGGGCCAGATCCCATCATTTAAAACTATGAAAGTATATAGAGAAAGGTTAGGACAATTATGTACAGAGCATATACTTTGTGAAAAGCTCTTGGTGAGACAGTATGCAGAGTGTAATGAAAGACCATATGGTTATTAGGAGGAAAATACCTTGAAAAGACAGTATGAGATATGGCTATTGCTCTGCACATGAGTACTGATAAATGTTGCGATCCTGGTTAAGACTCTGAACTTGTGTGAATACCCACACTTATAAGGTGTGTCTTTCCCTAACGTCCCTCTTGACTTGATGCTTCTGACATACTTGTGCCTCCCTGGTAGCTCAGACGGTTAAGAATCTGCCTGGAATGAGGGAGACCTGGGTTTGATCCCTGGGTTGGGAAGATCCTCTGGGCATGGGAGGGCATGGGAACCCACCCCAGTATTCTTGCCTGGAGAATCCCCATGGACAGAGGAGCCTGGAAGGCTGCAGTCCATGGGGTTGCAAAGAGTTTGGACACAGCTGAGTAACTTTCACTACACTTCTGATATATTCTGATAAGGTGACCACTTAAAGAGCTTACACTATAATTCATTATAAAATTTCTTTATGATTTAATTTGAAAACTACTTTTGAATCATGGTAAGTTTTGGGGATGCAAATTCAAGGTGTTTTTGGACTCATGGTGGATACAAGTAAGTAAACAGTGTGACCAGACAAAAAAAGCAGAGCAAATAAAATGGAGAGAAATGCAAATCAAATTTACTTCAAATATTTGTACATTTTCCCCTGTGATTAGATTCCCTACCTTCATCTTCTGCAGTTACACAGAGTATAATGTATACTATCAAATATAACCAACAACAAAATTATAGGCTCACTCACAAAGTCCCAGTTTTCAAATGCATCTATATATGTAATACAAAATTAGAAAAAGCCATACTCCTTTGTATAATGTGAGACAAGCCAAAAGCAGACCTGATAGATAATTTTTGTGTTTTGCTATTTTCAGCTCACCCTTATATGCACACCACAAAGGCATTTCTAAATCAAATCTCAAAAAGTAAATATGGCGTAATTTACATTATTTGTACCCACATTCCACATGGCCATAGTCATCTGCTTATTTCATTAACAACAGATAAATCAAAATCTTAAACTTTAATAATAAAATATACCTACCCTTCTGTGTGTCTGTGTCCAAAATCATATAGTTATAGGCCATTAAGTCTTCTGGATTGGGCACATACCTTGAGACTGTTTCTTTACTTCTCACCTTGGCAATCCACCAAGAACTGTCATTTTGGGGGAACAATGTTTCTTGAGTTTGTGAAAATGCAGAGAACTCTGGAGATCAGAGAAACCTTTTTTTTTTTTTTTTCCTGGCTGCACCCTGCAGCTTGTGGGATCTTAATTCTCCAAGTAGGGCCCTCGGCAGTGAAATCACACACTCCTGGGCACTAGGCCACCAGGCCACCAGGGGATTCCCTCAGAGAAACCTAACTGCAGCAGGGCTTACCTGGCTTGAGATGAGCGAAGGGAATTTCTCCCGTGAGAAGTTCCCACAGACACAGCGCATAGCTGAAGACGTCAGCCTTGATAGTGTAGCGTGTACACTGTGTGAACACCTCAGGAGCCATCCAGCGGAGGTTCTGCGGGTCAAAAACCATCCACAAGTCATTGACCAAGTGTTTAGTTCTTCCACTGTAGGACAGTGTGCTTCTTAGCGAGGATTTGTTAAGTATTCTATGTTCGCAAAAATATAAACGTAAAATAACATCAATACTGCCCTCAATGTGTGCAATAATAAACTGGCACATTCACGCAGAAATGGTGTTTACTGCTACCTTTTAGTTTTTCAAAGGGCGCTTTTTTAATCATTGGAAGATCATGAAATCCATAATTCTTCCAAATATACTGCAACAATATTAATTGCCCATAGTGAGCACAGCAGTGGCACTGTTTTGCTTATCTCTGAGTATCTTTCCCCTGGAAGGCTTGCAAGTTTCTGAATAGCCATCCATGGATTCATCCAAGAACTCTATGCCTCCCTGGGTGTGAATCATGCACTCTGGCGGGGAAGCCTCTCTCCTTTAGAGCTTCAGGTTGTAATTTAGGAAGTCACTAAATTAGACCAATAAATAGTGCCCTGATGACTGAGGAGAGAAAGGGTCTCAGGGGAGTGCCCAGAATATCCATGTGAAGGAGATTTCTCACTGGCAGGATCAGGTCTGTCATATCTCCTTTGTTTGCCCAGTGGTGTTATTTCTAAATGCTGTTTGTGCAATATTCTTGAAAGCAAGCCCATAAAACATGACAAGTTTCTCCATACAAAGTTCTACCCTCATGTTCTGATGGCATCATTTACATTCTTTTTATTTGCAATTGTATATTTTTCATTTTTAAATATAAGTTTCCATTATGGGATGCAATTGCATAAATTTGGTTTATGTGTGGTTTAAGAAAAAGAATACTAGAGTTAGGGAAGGAAAATTCTAGTTCTGGCCCTACTATCAACTACTTGGGTGGCTCTGAGAGTCTCCTATGCTTCTTGGACCTGAGATTCCTCAAGGGTAACACAGGAGGCAGGCCCTTCTAGCTCTAAAATCTCATGCCTTCATAATCATATCAATGAACTTTGCCAAAAACCTTCTGTCTTTGTATTTCCCCTGAAAGAAACCAGTATTCTCTTATTACTCTTAGTGATATTTTGTGTGTAGTGTTGCCTGCTGATAATTCTTTCGAAGAGTCTACATTATTTTGAAGTCATGCATAATTGCAGCTTGCCAAGAATGTCTTTATTTCGATTATGGTGCTTATATGCAATCCTTCCACATGAGCTTTCACATTCCAAGTAGCCTCCAATTATATAGCAGATTATGAGTTTTGTCACAACATTGCATCAGCAGGAGTAAGCATAGAGTATGCCCATTTTTTTCCACAGGGGGTAATAGAGTAATTAGCAAACTTATATCAGGCCACATAACTAATTAGAAATAAAATAGCCTTCAAAATAAACCTTGAGTAGGGCTGAGGCTGTGCTTAAAGACTCCATTCCTAGGATAGAAGAATGTTACTTGCTTTGGTGAAATTCAATTCAATTTCATTCAACAAAAGGATATTTAAACGGAGTCTCCACTGGCTACATTTTAGAATCTCCTGGGGAAACTTTTAAAAGATACATATACTCAAGATGAACTCTAGGACAAGGAGATCAGAATTTCTGGGGGTTGAATTCAGGTTGAATGCTTTTACAAAAGTTTCCAAAGTGATCTCAATGTGCAGCCATGGTTGAGGTCACTGAGTTAGCTATCTCTATGTCAAAGATGCCAGATAAGATCTGTATGTGCTGTCAAAAAAAGGACCCACTCTTCCCACCTCTCTCATTTTTTACCATACTCCTCCCTTCTTACTCTGCTCCAGTCAATCTGGCCTTGAACACACAAAGGACTCTCCTGCTGCAGAGCCTTTGCACTTACTGTTCCCTCTATACTGCTCTTCTCCTCTATGGATAACTCCCACATAGGTCTCTTGTCAAATGCTTTCTTTCTGTTTCACTCATCTAAATGACACCCCCATCACTTTACATTTATCTGCTCTTTGTTTTTTTTCTTCATAACACTTATCACCACCTGATATATATTTTACTAATTTGTTCAATGTTTATCTTCTCCAATTAGAATATAAGCCCCATAAACACAAGAACTTTGTCATGGCAATATTCCCAGTTCCTTGAAAAATGTCTGACACTTAGTAGGTATTCCGTAAATGTCTGCTGAATGAATGAAATTTAACTGGGGAAGCCAGCACGCTTAATACTTAACCCATGATGTGGTTCCTGCCTTCCTCTTTAACTTGTCTCCCACTTTGTCTTTCTCACACAATGCGTGACAACAATGCCAAGCTATTTAAAGTCCTCAAGGAAAGCTGGTGTTTCTCCCTCCTCTGTGCCTTTGTTCACGTGTTCATTCTGTTTGAATTGATTTATTCCTGTTCATTCTACCTGAGCTCCCATGAGGCTTTGCCACATCTCTATCATCGAATGTCCATACTGCCTTCACCCTTACTTGCATATGGTTTTTCCCACTACAAAATGAGTTACTTGAGATCAAAGACAAGCTTTTATTTACATCTTGTATTCCTGGCCCTTTGTACAATGCCTGACACATTGTAGACTCTTCATAAATGTTTGTTGAGTGAGTAACAGTACTACCTAGGAGTGTGAAAAAAGTGCTACAAAAGCACAGACAGAAAAGTGTGCGGGGAGGAGGTGGAAGGAGCAATTTACAGGATGGAAGGTACTCAAAATGGATAAACTTTTCTTGGCCATGCAAGATAATAAGACTTTCTCAAGGTGGGATGCAATGAAAGGTTTTTTGGGTAGAGAATATGACCCTGGCAGAGTCATAAATCTGTGAAAGTGAATGAAATATTTGGGGAATAGCCAGATGGCTTGTATTTATGTTTCTGGGGGCATAGGGGACTTAAGAAAATGTTTAGTGGGAAATGAAGTCACAGAAGAGTCTTGGGTTCAGGCCGGGGAGAGAGTGTTATAACATTTTAATGCTTCCCAGGTGGTGATAGCGGTAAAGAATCTGCCTGCCAATGCAGGAGATGCAAGAGAAGTGGGTTTAATCCCTGGATCAGGAAGATTCCCTGGAGGAGGAAATGGCAACCCATTCCAGTATTCTTGCCTGGAAAATTCCATGGACAGAAGAGCCTGTGGACTATAGTCCATGTGGTTGCAGAGTCGGACAGGACTGAATGTGCACACACACACACGCACACAAACAACATTTTAAGCATCATTCAGAACACAACACTTGGCTGATGTTGCAAAGAATGAACTGGAAGAGAGGACTGGAATTAAAAGCCTAGAACAATGGTCTAGAAAAGAGATGGGGAAGACCTGAACTGAGGCAGTGGTAGATGAAAATTTGGGATAAACTAAAAAAGAAAAGAAATAGAAACAAACAGAAAAAAGTGATTGAGCAGTGTGTAAGCAGAAGCAGGAAAAGGAAGGGACAGAAAATTAGCTCAAGCTTGGTAATTAAATAACACAGGTAGGTCAGAAAGAGAAGTATACTCCTTTGTGGGGAGGGGAGAGGGAAAAGCAGATAATGAATCTAAATGCAGACATTTCAAGTACAATTTATGTTTGCTTCAGATGTTATAATTTATATTTTTCTTAAACAGTAACGCTTGACTGTATCACCTATCGCCTTACAATGTTAAAAATGGAAAACTATAAATTGTTAATAGATACAGGTAAACTATGGATTTTATGGTTACCTATTAAATTTTAACTCTACCATTTAATAAGGAGATCTAAACATGAAAGTCAATTATCCATGCCCGCCATGTACTTTTCAATTAGATTTGAAACAAATTCTGTTACTTCTTCTATAACATTTTTCAAATATAAATCTAATCTATTTCTCTAACAGAGCCTTGAAATAGTTCTTTTGGGGGCTTACTAAAAATAAAAACATAAAACATTATCCTGCCTCTGGGACAATGACATTTCTTCCAGTTAAAGCTGCTTTCATCTCCTTTTCTTTCATGCTGAGTTTACACATTCTAATTGTTTCATAATTATAGGGAACATGAGCAGCAACAAACCCCAGGTTGTTTTGTCATGTTGTCTTCATCCAGAGACTGCAGGAATCTTGATTCTGGGGAAAAGAGAAAACAAATTCATGTCAAAGGAAATGTTTTAAAACTAAGGTCAAAGATTATAGGTAAAAGTTTGAAACCCCAAGGAAACCTCTGTCTTATTTAAAATTTTTACTTCCATTTTTTAGCTGAGGATATAAAAGAAGAAAACCTGAAAAGAAATGACATGCTTTTAAAAGTCATTGAAAATTTTAAAAATTTATTTGTTTTTAATTGGAGGATAATTGCTTTACAATATTGTATTGGTTTCCGCCATACAACATGAATCGGCCATAGGTACACACATGTCACCTCCCTCTTGCTAATTGAAAACTTTTCCTAGTACCCCTCCATGATAACTTGAAATGTGAATAATTTAGAGAAATATAGCTTTCAGGGTGATATCCATTTCCAGGTTTATCATATAATATCTCCACCAGTGAGGAAGGAAGAAAGAAGCTGATGTCACTGGCGGCATTATTCATAGAAATCTCACCTCCAAAATCGGCCACCACAGCATGCCCATCCTCATAGAGAAGAATATTGTGACTGTAAAAAAATAAAAAGTAGATTTTGAGTAAATTTTACTATTTTCAGTCTGAATGGTCTCTCAAGGAAGAGGATAAAAATCGTCATTTGTTTACCCCAGAGGTTAAACAACTCCCCAAAAGCTAACAGACATCTCAGGTCAGTGACTCTGATTTTCTTAGTTTGCTAATCTGAAAGGAAAGTTTATATAATGTGATCATCCTATATCTGACTTTGAAAGTATTCAAAGTACTTTACTTTAGGTAAACCTTCCAAACTTGTCAAAGACTCATTAGCTGAAAATTAGTTTTTCAGCTCTTTGAAGTTCAGTTGCTAACAAAATTTGGTTACAGGCAATAGTAAAAGGTATCTGTGAGCATATCAGAGTCAGAGCAAGGGAACAAGTTTGCTAGAACTCCAGGCACAAGGGCAGTTCAAGGCAGGACCTGACATGAATATAGGAAAAGGACCCTTTATGGAAAATGTCTCAGTCAATATGTTCTAGCTGGTATCCTAGGAAAAAGAAGTGTTTTTAAGGCCTGTGAAATGAGGCCAGCTAAAGTACTTTTTAAGCTCTTAGACAGGAAAACATAGAAAGGTCTTCAAAGTTTCCTTTCCAAACTAGAATTCAAGCTAGAATAAGACTGTCCTTTTCAAGAAGTAAACCAAGGTTGGGACAGTCTAACTAGAGGCCATTTCTCTCACATATTGGTGAATTGAGTTGTGAGATCTCTTATGGACAAACATATTGTGATCCAAGATGGTCTTTGAGTATTTCTTATTGAATGCCTTTCTTTATGCTCATTTAACATTTAGCTTCTAAATGAGTCATTTCAGCATTAGGAGATAACCCACTGGATTTCTTTTAGTGCACATAGGCCATACAATATTAGTTTATATGCTCTTTCTTTCTTGTTTTGCTTCGTGATCAAAAAAGGAAAATCTTTTAGTCTGAATAACTCCAATATGATATTGAACCATTTATATAAGTGCTTTAAGGTACTGAGTTAAGCTTTGTAAGAAAGTTTCCTTTGAACTTCTCTTGTATCATAAATGAATTTTACTTTTATGGTATACACTTAATTCTCTTTTAAACTAGCAAAATCTAGAATGTGTTCAAGCTATTTTTTTTTTTTTTTTTTGGCCTGGAAGATACCAGTGTAGAAGTAATGTTAATTAATTGCTAATTTGTAACACATAATGAGTGAGTGCATGCTCAGTTGCTCATTCATGTTCAACTCTCTGTGACCTCCTGGACTGGACTGTAGACCACCAGGCTCCTCTGTTCAAGGGATTTTCCAGGCAAGAATATTGGAGTGGGTTTTTGAAAGAGAATAACCTACAACCTAGATTACTCTACCCAGCAAGGATCTCATTCAGATATGAAGGAGAACTCAAAAGCTTTACAGACAAGCAAAAGCTGAGAGAATTCAGCACCACCAAACCAGCTCTTCAACAAATATTAAAGGATCTTCTCTAGACAGGAAACACAGAAAGGTGGTATAAACGTGAACCCCAAACAACAAAATAAATGGCAACGGGACCATACCTATCAATAATTACCTTAAATGTAAATGGGTTGAATGCCCCAACCAAAAGACAAAGGCTGGCTGAATGGATAAAAAAGCAAGACCCCTATATATGCTGTCTACAAGACCCCACCTCAAAGCAAGGGACACATACAGACTAAAAGTGAAGGGCTGGAAAAAAATATTCCACGCAAACGGAGACCAAAAGAAAGCAGGAGTCGCAATACTCATATCAGATAAAATAGACTTTCAAATAAAGGCTGTGAAAAGAGACAAAGATGGACACTACATAATGATCAAAGGATCAATCCAAGAAGAAGATATAACAATTATAAATATATATGCACCCAACATAGGAGCACTGCAATATGTAAGGCAAACGCTAACGAGTATGAAAGAGGAAATTAATAATAACACAATAATAGTAGGAGACTTTAATACCCCACTCACAACTATGGATAGATCAACTAAACAGAAAATGAACAAGGAAGCACAAACTTTAAAGGACACAATGGACCAGCTAGACCTAATTGACATCTATAGGACGTTTCACCCCAAAACAATCAACTTCACCTTTTTCTCAAGTGCACACGGAACCTTCTCCAGAATAGATCACATCCTGGGCCATAAATCTAGTCTTGGTAAATTCAAAGAGATTGAAATCATTCCAGTCATCTTTTCTGACCACAGTGCAGTAAGATTAGATCTTAATTACAGGAAAAAAATTATTAAAAATTCAAACATATGGAGGCTAAACAACACGCTTCTGAATAACCAACAAATCATAGAAGAAATCAAAAAAGAAATCAAAATATGCATAGAAATGAATGAAAATGAAAACACAACAACCCAAAACCTATGGGACACTGTAAAGGCAGTGCTAAGGGGAAGATTCATAGCATTACAGGCCTACCTCAAGAAACAAGAAAAAAGTCAAATAGATAACCTAACTCTACACCTAAAGCAACTAGAGGAGGAAGAAATGAAGAACCCCAGGGTTAGTAGAAGGAAAGAAATCTTAAAAATCAGGGCAGAAATAAATGCAAAAGAAACTAAAGAGAGCATAGCAAAAATTAACAAAGCTAAAAGCTGGTTTTTTGAAAAAATAAACAAAATTGACAAACCATTAGCAAGACTCATTAAGAAACAAAGGGAGAAGAACCAAATTAACAAAATTAGAAACGAAAATGGAGAGATCACAACAGACAACACTGAAATACAAAGGATCATAAGAGACTACTACCAGCAGCTCTATGCCAATAAAATGGACAACTTGGAAGAAATGGACAAGTTCTTAGAGAAGTATAACTTTCCAAAACTGAACCAGGAAGAAATAGAAGATCTTAACAAACCCATCACAAGCAAGGAAATTGAAACTGTAATCAGAAATCTTCCAGCAAACAAAAGCCCAGGACCAGATGGCTTCACAGCTGAATTCTACCAAAAATTTAGAGAAGAGCTAACACCTATCTTACTCAAACTCTTCCAGAAAATTGCAGAAGAAGGTAAACTTCCAAACTCATTCTATGAGGCCACCATCACCCTAATTCCAAAACCAGACAAAGATGCCACACAAAAAGAAAACTACAGGCCAATATCACTGATGAACATAGATGCAAAAATCCTTAACAAAATTCTAGCAAACAGAATCCAACAACATATTAAAAAAATCATACATCATGACCAAGTGGGCTTTATCCCAGGAATGCAAGGATTCTTTAATATCCGCAAATCAATCAATGTAATACACCACATTAACAAATTGAAAGATAAAAACCATACGATTATCTCAATAGATGCAGAAAAAGCCTTTGATAAAATTCAACATCCATTTATGATTAAAACTCTCCAGAAAGCAGGAATAGAAGGAACATACCTCAACATAATAAAAGCTATATATGACAAACCCACAGCAAGCATCACCCTCAATGGTGAAAAACTGAAAGCATTTCCCCTGAAATCAGGAACAAGACAAGGGTGCCCACTCTCACCACTACTATTCAACATAGTTTTGGAAGTTTTGGCCACAGCAATCAGAGCAGAAAAAGAAGTAAAAGGAATCCAGATAGGAAAAGAAGAAGTGAAACTCTCGCTGTTTGCAGATGACATGATCCTCTACACAGAAAATCCTAAAGACTCTACCAGAAAATTACTAGAGCTAATCAACGAATACAGTAAAGTTGCAGGATATAAAATTAACACACAGAAATCTCTTGCATTCCTATACACTAACAATGAGAAAACAGAAAGAGAAATTAAGGAAACAATACCATTCACCATTGCAACAAAAAGAATAAAATACTTAGGAGTATATCTACCTAAAGAAACAAAAGACCTATACATAGAAAACTATAAAACACTGATGAAAGAAATCAAAGAGGACACAAACAGATGGAGAAATATACCGTGTTCATGGATTGGAAGAATCAATATTGTCAAAATGGCTATACTACCCAAAGCAATCTACAGATTCAATGCAATCCCTATCAAACTACCAACGGTATTTTTCACAGAACTAGAACGAATAATTTCACAATTTGTATGGAAATACAAAAAACCTCGAATAGCCAAAGTAATCCTGAGAAAGAAGAATGGAACTGGAGGAATCAATCTGCCTGACTTCAGACTATACTACAAAGCCACAGTCATCAAGACAGTATGGTACTGGCACAAAGACAGAAATATAGATCAATGGAACAGAATAGAAAGCCCAGAGATAAATCCACAAACCTATGGTCACCTTATCTTCGACAAAGGAGGCAAGGATATACAATGGAAAAAAGACAACCTCTTTAACAAGTGGTGCTGGGAAAACTGGTCAACCACCTGTAAAAGAATGAAACTAGAACACTTTCTAACACCATACACAAAAATAAACTCAAAATGGATTAAAGATCTAAATGTAAGACCAGAAACTATAAAACTCCTAGAGGAGAACATAGGCAAAACACTCTCCGACATAAATCACAGCAGGATCCTCTATGACCCACATCCCAGAATTTTAGAAATAAAAGCAAAAATAAACAAATGGGACCTAATGAAACTTAAAAGCTTTTGCACAACAAAGGAAACTATAAGCAAGGTGAAAAGACAGCCCTCAGATTGGGAGAAAATAATAGCAAACGAAGCAACAGACAAAGGATTAATCTCAAAAATATACAAGCAACTCCTCCAGCTCAACTCCAGAAAAATAAATGACCCAATCAAAAAATGGGCCAAAGAACTGAACAGACATTTCTCCAAGGAAGACATACAGATGGCTAACAAACACATGAAAAGATGCTCAACATCACTCATTATCAGAGAAATGCAAATCAAAACCACAATGAGGTACCATTACACACCAGTCAGGATGGCTGCTATCCAAAAGTCTACAAGCAATAAATGCTGGAGAGGGTGTGGAGAAAAGGGAACCCTCTTACACTGTTGGTGGGAATGCAAATTAGTACAGCCACTATGGAAAACAGTGTGGAGATTTCTTAAAAAGCTGGA